GACTGAAGTGCAATCCAGATGGACAGGAGTGTTCCACCTTCTCACCACGAACGCAATAGAAGAATTTCGTACAGTCGCATTCATGAGGCAGCAGTTTGTGGATGGAGAAGTCAGCGGGGCAACCGTTAGGCAGGAGTTCAACTTCGTCTAAATCACCATCACCTTCTCCATCCTCACCATCTCCTCCATCTCCACCTCCATTGTCACCTCCATCTCCTTCACCTCCACCTCCGCCCCCATCTCCACCTCCACCATTTTCGCCATCGCCGCAATCGCATCCTCCTCCAGCGTTAGGGTCACAACCAGCGTTTCTCGGCAAATCGCAAACCTTTTAACGTATTTAAATAATTGTCAGTAACAACAATTTATTTTACATAGTATCTGCATGTCTTTATCTAATCTTATCGAGAATTTCTAAATATTTCCTATCTGGAGACACAATAGTTCCCCCACTAAGACCTTATCTTGCGAAAGTATTTAAAAATATTGTTAGATACCTGTAACTGCGCATTGAAATGTGTTCCTGCCGTACATTCCCGCTCTAGAAGTTCTCCTCTCAAGCAATAATAAAACTTGGAGCAGTTATTTTCGTGCGGCAACAACTGGTGTATTGTGAAGTCAGCGGGGCAACCGTTTGGTAGTGTCCCTTGATCACCACAAGGTGGTTGTGGGGTAGTTGTTGTTGTCGTTGTTGTGGGTGAAGTGGTTGTTGCTGGTGGACATATAGTTGAAGGTGTTGTAGTAGTACCTGGTGGGCATATTGTTGTAGGAGCTGTTGTAGTTGTTGATGGAGTTGTTGTTGTTGATGGCGTTGTGGTTGTTGTTGTTAATGGTGTAGTAGTTGTTGTTGTTGAAGGAGTTGTTGTGGTTGTGGTTGTTGGTGGACATATCGTTGAAGTAGTTGTTGTCGAAGTGGTAGTTGTGCTTGCAGGAGGACATATTGGTGTTGTAGTGGCTGAATCATCTGGCGGTGTAGGAGATCCAGGAAGTGTACAATTCGCCAATGTTGGATGAATGCAAACCTAATAAAAAAAAGGATGTTAAAATTAGACAAATTTTATTGACATTATTGATTGACTGTTTTTATAGACTACGTCTGAATCTCTTGATAAATATAATGATATAGCGTCATTTTTACGACTTACTTGTAATCCAGCAGAAAATTCAGTGCCTAAGGCGCAGTCTCTTGGTGCAATCCATCTTAGTCCGTATTCACAATAGTAAAACTTTGTGCAATCATAATCATGTGGTAAAAGGTAATGGGTCTCATTCGCAGGGCACCGTTCGTCGGGAACTACCCTCCTCTCTTCCTGGAATACCTCCTCGTCTACTATAATATCTTGAGTCTCTGGAGCATCTCGTGGCATCCCATGACCTAACGCCAAAAGGGCCAATAGAAATATTCTACCTAAAAGTTGATAAAGATTCGTATAGTACTAAATATAACAGTTGTCTAAAAAGCCACATAATTTTTTAATAATAATAGCTGTCGCCCGCGACTCCGTCCGCGTGTTTGTCTAAAAATAAAAATTAGCAGTGGTCTACCCTTAACATTTAGGGGGATGAGAAATATATGTTGGCCGATTCTCAAGCCTACTCAATATGCTCACAAAATTTCATGAGAATCGGTCAAGCCGTTTCGGAGGAGTATGGGAACGAAAAATTGTGACACGAGAATTTTATAGTATAAGAAGATTGATTTCTCGTTACAGTAATTTATCTCCTGGTTCCAACTGTTCCCAAACTTAAGTATGTTTTCCAAAGTAATTAAAGCTGACACATCCACAATTTCGATTATATTCAAAGAGAAAATAATCTAGAAGTAAATTAGACTAATTTTAGTATTTCGTAACAATATATCATAACCTTTAAAAAAAACTAATCTGATAGTATTTGATAATCTTCGAGTCATATTCATTTATCAATGCATTCGTAAAACTAATAAAAGCGGTATTTTTATTGTTATTACGATTGTGGATTAGATTTTATTATGATTAACAACGCAATAGATAATAAAATGAATCGAAGGAATACCGTTACATTTGCAAACAATTTAAAAAATATATTAACCTATTAATACTTTAATAGAATTAATTTTGAAACAAAAACAATTAATTTATTCATCATCATCATCATCATCAGCTCACTATACGTCCCCACCGAGGGGCTCGGAGCCTACCCTAAGTTAAGGGTGATTAATTTATTATCTATCTCTATTTAGTAGAACTAGAACTGCAGTGACACTTGTATTAATAATCGTTACATATATCATCTCTTTCATTCTCTTTAATTAAACAAGGACAACAATATATTTTTATTTTAGCTAGCGATCTCCGAGACATCTGCAATTGCGTTGCTAAACTTTAATCAACGAAGGGGGGAGCACAAAAATCCGCTCTTTCATCAAATCCACTTCTTCTTCCCATCCTTTCTCTAGAAGAATGGTTAGGAAAGGAAAGAGGACTGAAATTAGTCCTCCGACACGCGCACTAATCATGCTACGTGGTATCTCCACTTAAGGCATGTCTTTGTGGTTTTGGTATTGCACCGGGCAAGGCCCATTCGTACTGCAGATTGTAAATTGAAAAAAATACTGTAAATATTATAAAGAGCTTTAAATCAAAATGCTTCAGTGTGACAATTAAGGAATATCAATTGATAAAAATAAACAGATTAATAAAGATTTTTAGAATAAAGAATTTGTATTAAAAAAAAAACATTTTTCTATCTCCCCTTTTTTTAAGCTTGAAATTGACAGGATACATACCAATCATTGCGTCGAATTGACGCTCTTTCGCGATGCAATTATATTCCAGTCGATTCTGCAAGAGATCTTCGATGCACTGCATTAATTATTATTTTAGGGTTGCTATTTATTCTTAATACTGCATTTAATGTCATTGATAAAATCACATATTTGATAAATTTAATGATAAAATCAATAATATCTCAGCGACGATCATTTATTTTGGATAAGAAACTGACGACCATGATTTTTTTCCAAACAGTGCAAGATTAACGTTAGTCTATTGTTTTTTCAACATTTAGCTAACCCCCTGGGGAGGTCGCACTTGCAGTAAAGAATTAATCAGGAATATTTTCGATATACGTTTTCGTAATTCCATCGAAAAAAATTGTCTTTTATGTGAAATTAGTTATTGTAATTTACGCCCGATACAAACAATCAAAGACATTTGTCGATGACGTAATGAATATTTTCTCGTATATTTTCATGTTAGGATCCAGTTATAAAATGTTATGTGGTGTCGGCGTCGGTGGCTCAAGGGTTTCAATACTTGACTTGTAAAAGTCCTGGGTTCAAATCCCGCCATGTACCGATGTGTTTTTCGATTTGCGATTTACATATGTACATTTATCCGACGTTCTTACGGTGAAGGAAAACATCGTGATGCTGCACATATCTGAGAAGAAATTCAAAGATATGAGTGAAGTCAACCAACCCGTACTTGGCCAGCGTGGTTGGCTATGGCCTAGTCACCCCTATCTTAGGGTAGGCTCTGAGCCCCTCAGTGGGGACGTATAGTAAGCTGATGATGTGGTGTAGTTGAAATGTGATTCAAATGTTTTAATAATTTATCTTGTTTGTCGTCTGTGCAGAAGCAAAAATAATTTAGTAGGATAAAGCTCGAAAAGCTTTTATTAATCCAAACCAACGGTGTCAGTTGATATGTATTTAAAACATAGATTATGTAATTAGACAGAACGAATCAAACTTAATTTATTAACATAATAATAGTAATATAAACTAAAAAATAAATTACCTGTTAAAATTAGAATTGTGTACACATCCTAACGTAGCGTGTTTTATTTCGACTTCCTATATGATTGTTAATTAGATAAAAAAGATTGCTAAAATTATCTTAAAGATGATTTTATCAATTTATGTACGACAAATATACATTAGCTTTAGACTTTGACACATGTATTGACAACCGTTATGGCAGTAGTAACCCACTGTTAAATCGGTTTAATACGGTCTTTTACGGATAACAAAAAGTAGTAATTAAAACAAATTATATCTTAAAAGGAAGCCATTTAAATTTTCTTTTAAATAGTTTTTCTTTCAAAACTCTAAGTATAATAGTTTAGAAGATATTGCGGTTTTAAAACTGTACTACTTTGGTTTGATAGTTAATTTTTGCTCAACCAGTTGTCCCGCTGCGGTAACATTCAACGAATGAAGTTTACATTTAACGCAATCCATCTCTTCTAAGGCTTAACCCTATCCATGTAACCCTTAACATTTATTAAATTATTCAACCGTTAGTTGGAATATTATTATAAACTTTTAGACATTATTAGTTAGAATGCTTTGACGTGAATGGCGCGCTTTCGTTACTAAGTCAAGAGTCAGAATGATTAGTGAGGGGACATAAACGTCGACATTTTAATAAGGCTAGTGTTGCACAGTGTCGGATTTTCTTTCTAACAAAACTAATGTATAAACAGCTAAACAATCAGGTATTTATTTCCACAAAATTCATATTCAAAGTTTATTCGAAAGAAATGGGCTTCTGTTGTTATAGAAGTGTTAAAACAGAGGTAATTCACAGTAAAATACAAGTATCTATTATTAGTATATTTTATTTCAATGTTTTAATTAATAACAAGTTATTATAATCATTATAGTTCGCCAATGTATTGTCCCACCCAATTGTGGTCTACTCTGTGCCAAGGAATGAAGAGTTTCAAACCAGCGCCGTGAGATGTCGCCTGAATCTCTTTCCTTTCACAGTTCGCGTAACAAATGAAGTCACAAGTCTGAGTGTTTGCATTGAAATGTAGACCTTCGGAACATATAGCCAAGATTGCTTTTTCGCCGTCACATCTCCAGAATTTGTCGCAATCGGTTTCATGCGGCCACGGTAACACGTTGCAGCCATCTTTGCATTTATCATTGTTACTATCACCACCTCCATCGTTACTTTCACAGCCAGCATTTTCTGGATAGTCACAAACCTAGAATAGGAAATGCTATCATCATCATCAGCTCACTACGCGTCCCCACCGAGGGGCTCGGAGCCTACCCTAAGTTAAGGGTGATTAGGCCATAGTCAACCACGCTGGCCCAGTGCGGGTTGGTTGACTTCACACATATCTTTGAATTTCTTCTCAGATAGTTGCATCACGATGTTTTCCCTCACCGTAAGAACGTCGGATAAATGTACGTATGTAAATTGGAAATCGGAAAACACATTGGTACATGGCGGGATTCGAACCCAGGACCAGCAGATTGCAAGTCAAGTGCTTGACCCCTGTGCCACCGACGCTCTTTTGGAAATGCTATAGGTCCACACTTTTTGTAGTCAGTTCATTACGTTCAAAATGTCGTCATTTCCTTAGCTCTAGAATATATCGATGAAAACTTTAAAGACGTATTACCTCTAATACTGGATTGAAGTGTAGTCCAGTGGAGCACTCCCTCAGTTCTAATTCTCCTCGAACACAGTAGTAGAACTGAGAGCAGTTTGTTTCATGTGGTAATAATTTGTGAATACTGAAGTCTGCAGGACAACCATTTGGTAATGTTTCATTAGTAACACATGATGGTGGAGTTGTTGGTGCTAATGTTGTTGTTGTGGGTGCTTGAGTTGTTGTTGTAGGGGCTGGTGTTGTTGTGGTTGTCGAAGTTGTTGTTGTAGGGGCTGGTGTTGTTGTAGTTGTTGTGGTTGTTGTTGGAGCAGGTGTGGTTGTCGTAGTTGTTGTAGGTGCTGGTGTGGTGGTTGTTGTAGTTGTTGGAGCCGGAGTTGTTGTGGTCGTAGTTGTTGTTGGAGCCGGAGTTGTTGTGGTTGTAGTTGTTGTTGGAGCAGGAGTTGTTGTGGTTGTAGTTGTTGTTGTTGTTGTCGGTGCTGGTGTTGTTGTAGTTGTAGTAGTTGTGGTCGGAGCAGGTGTAGTGGTTGTAGTAGTCGTTGGAGCTGGTGTCGTTGTGGTTGTTGTAGTTGGCGTGGTCGTTGTGGTAGATGGGGTTGTCTCTGGTGGAGGAGTAGGTGATCCTGGCAGTGTGCAATTCGCCAACACCGGATGGATACACACCTGGTAAAAAAAGATAAATATAAGGAACGACTTAGGCTAACATTTCTAATATATTACTTCATACTTATAAGTTTATATGGGTGGATGGATGTTTGTTACTTCGTAATTCCAAAACGTATTTACGGATCTGGATTAAATTTGGCATAGAGATTGGTGAATGGAATAGCGCGTAGACCGATTTAAGGTAAAAAGTAGTAGTCATAAAAGTAAACAATATACTTGTATCTCTGCAGAAAATTCAGTTCCCAAAGCGCAGTCTCTTGGCTGTATCCATCTTAGACCGTACTCGCAGTAGTAAAACTTGGTACAATCATAATCGTGAGGGATGAGGAAATGAGTCTGGTCCTCAGGACATCGCTCGTCTGGAACACGTCTGTCCGTGAGAAGAGTTTCCTCTTCACTGTTTGCTTGTACGTCTGCGTTCTCTGGCATAACATCATCCCACGGCATCGCCTGGGCTAGAGCCAGGAGAGCTAGGAATATCACTTTTCCTGCAAAAAAAAACATTTCTTATGCTCGTAATTAAGGTTCTTTGTGTCGTTTTGTACCTTCGTTAGTTTATATTGACGGAGAATTATGAACTACCCAAAACTTGTACTGGAAGAATTATTCAAAAAGTGATGCTTCAACTACGTTTTAAAATTGAAGTCACATCGTTGAGTTGCAAACCTTTTTCTGGCTAATACATTTGAAGTCTTGAAGATCTTTATTTTGGCTATATGAAAACGAAGTATTGTGAAGAACCTCATTTTAAGGCAACTAAAAATGATATCACTGCACAAACAGATATATTTAAACTTTATAAAATCACATACCAATCATTGCGTCTAATTGACGCTTGAATAATAATAAAACAATTGCAACCCAATCAAAACTTGCGTCCCAAAATCACCACAGAAACTGGTTCAAATTCAATGAAATGAAAGCTATTTATTCCAAATATACTATAGAGCTACCGATACGATCAAAAATAGATCTGTCGATAATAATAGTGTCACAATCTATATCTTATTTGAGATCTTTAATTGAGGAAAAACAAGTTTTACATGAAAATCCACTTAAAACAATGCTAAAAATAATGACATCATTGGAATGAGTAATATATCTCTAGAAAATTTCGCGTAAACAGCTCCGTTGTGGAATGCAAGCCATGGTAATGATATGGTTGGAACTTGGTTTTCTATCGTGCCGTCCGTAAAGGGTATTTGGAGGTAGGAGTTGTACCAAAAAATTCTTCAGAGCACACCTCGTGGTTCAATCTAATCACGTTTCCTCTATATAATTAATTAATCTGTCGCCCGCAATTCCGTTAGCGCGGTATTAAAAAAAACTTAAGTAAACTGTGTATTCTTCCACATTATGTATCTATGCTAAATTTCAGCTAGTTCCATGTATCAAATATCCATCTAAACATACTTATTTATAATATTAGTAAGTTGTAGATGTAGAAAACTGTAATATAAAAATAGTCGCATTTGACTGGAGTCACGCGTCTCAAAGCTTAATTAAAACAAGCAGTTATATCGCATGGCCTAGTCACCCTTGATTTAGGGTAGGCTCCGAGCCCCTCGTGAGGGAGCTGCCTCGGCAGCTGACGCCGACGGGGTCGCGGACGAGAGCGAAAGCGTGCCCGTGGCTCCGTCCCTATGCGTTGAAGGAACAGAGAGGTTTAGTGGGTTTGCCTCCGCTAAGGAGGAGAATCCCACATAACTACCGCGTCCTCCCCGGGGCGCGGAGTATGAATAAAGCATTCCTCCGAGCCCCTCGGTGGAGACGAAACGATACAAAATTCATGCATATCTGATTCATATTACATGAAATTGTTACAATATTACTAATATTATAAATGCGAATGTTTGTACTGATGTATGGATGTTTGTTAGAAGTAATCTCCAGAACGGCTGCACACATCTCGTTTAAATTTGAAACAGATATAGAACATAGTCTAGAAGAACACGTAGGCTGCTGATTGTGTTTTTTTTAATCTCACGCGGACGGTGTCGTGTTGAATAGGTAGTTACAAATATTTTTCAATCGGATAATCCTGGCGATGCCATTGTGCTTATCCACTTTATGATTGAAAGGCTAATTATGTAGACTTATCTAATTGATAACATTTAATTCGCTTAGTTGAAAATAAAAACTGTTTTCGAGATTTGCATTTTTCTCTAGATTGCATTTTGTAATACCTTTTAACTGATTGAAAACGGGGTTTTATTATGTGGGAAAATATAAGTATATGGGACTATATATGCCATTGTTTATTTATTTATTAGACAAGTACACACAACAGATAAATTATGCAACATTGACCAAAGTAATACAATATAAAACACAATAAAACTGATAATTTATCCAATAACAGGTGTACAACATTCATACAAAACAAACAAGTATAAAACACAAAAAAAATTATATGAACAAACCAAGAAAAGAAAACAAAAAAAATAATAATCTAACAATATATTTAGGTCTGTGCCTCTGGAGGTGTGGAAATTAGTTTCTTGTAATTACGTAAGGAGGTGCAGAAAATATCAGTAATATCCTTTCCTCTTTTTAATTCGTTATATGTCCGACATATCCGTGGGATGGGTGAGTTAAGGCCTATGTTAAAGCCTGGAAGGTAATAGATTAAACCGATTTTGACAAGCGACTTGTCATTCCATTCGTTTCTCCGTGGGTCTCAGGGTACGGTCGTTTCTATAATATGCCAGAATGCCAGGTTAGGGTTGAATACGCCATAATCAACCCAACTCAGTGCGAGTTGGTTTACTTCTCAGATTTGTGCAGGTTGCATCACGATGTTTTCCTTTACCGTAAGAACGTCGGATACATATGTAAATCGGAAATCGAAAAACCTGCAGTTTGCAAGTCAAGGGCTTGACCCCTGAGCCACCGACGCTCCTAGAATTTATATGGACCGAAAAATAAAGGTTTACTGTTTAATCGTGAACATAATGGCCACATCTATTTCATGACAATATCGACCTCAATCATTGACACGCTGCTCACACTAGTCACACCATTCCAGAGTCGGTGTTTGCTGTAACTTACCCAGGGGTGGCATAGCCAGTGCCCGCAGCATGTCATTTGTATTAAACATTAAAATCAATTAATGTTTATAAAACCTTACCCGACGACTCTATGTGAGTGGAATAGTACCAGCGAGATGATGATTACTGATTGCTATGATTAGTGTTTTTTCCCGAAGTCTTACAACGGTAGTCAGTAATGGCTTCTTTTTTTTAAATTGCTTTTTTACTATTATAAAATTTACTTATTATAAAATAATACAAATAACTTTAAAGTTATCTTTAAGGAAGATAATTAGTATCATGAACATAATTAAAATATGTCTGTATTTTGTTCAGATTTCCGTAGATAAAGCAAAAAATCAGAGTAAGCCGTTCAAAGAATATGTTGATAGTAATCATTTAGATGGATATTTAAATCCGATATTATCTGATTAACCAAAATAATCATTATGATATTTAATACTTTTGGGAGTTTTTAATTATGATTAAGACTAATAAAATGCACTTAGAACTATTGCAAATAGTACAGTCAGCTACATAAATAAAATACACGTGTCCGTGCTTCCGGCTAAGAATACATTTTTCTAACGGACACATGTATACATTATTTTTCATACCGACAGTGTATACAGGTTTCTACAGCTTTGTAAATGTTATGAATATTTATTAAACTTACTTCACGGTATATTAAAAAAAGATGATGTAAAAAAATCATTGTTGGATGTAGGCTCTTGTTTACAATATAACTAAGCTTCCGTCCGCGACTCCGGCCACGCAGGATTAAAAAAAAATAGTAGTCTATGTGTTCTTCCAAACTATGTTCTACATCTGTCCCAAATTTCATCGAAATCCGTGCAACAGTTCTGGGCATACCTTCTTACTTCCATTCATCCAAACATTCGCATTTATAATAGTAAGATAGAATTTTATAACGTAATATTGACAATATCATTAAAGTAAAATTGCTGTGATATTTTAGCTAGGTGTTTTTTTTCTTTTACGTTGAATGCTATTTATTTTTGTCAGGAACATTTAATAAATAATTTATTATGTGAATAAAATTTTAATAGTCATATTTCTCTAATAAGAATAAAACCATTATTAAAAGGACATAAAATAATAGATTATAATACGGTTTGTTTTTTTAAACAGATATGTATAATAACAAAATAATATCAAACTTAAATTAATTTTAATCCATTGTTATTTTTGTATAACGATTACATTATCTATGTCATTGAATATATTTCAATTGAATGTAACAATTCTCAAGTATAGTCCATGTAAATTTGATATCCGCAATGTATAAAAAGACCGGAACTTTGATTAGAATTATTTAAAGAGCCCTTAAGATTAAAGTTAAAAGTTACGTAAATTTTAAACGATATGACAAAGGTATACTATGATACGATATATTATTATACGATTAGATATATTATACGACTTGTAATATTTATTACTAACTTGTAATTAAAATTATTTAACAGTGGTATAATCAAATAATTAAATTCTCAGCTCTTTTAAATTCACACTATGCTTAGTAAACTGTTATCAAAAAGTAATTTAGCAATTGATGATTACATATGTAAAAATGGAATTATATATAGATAATTAGAGATAATAAAAAAATCACACATTTATAATTCTCTTAGCGTGATTTTCCATTGCCGAAACACGGGTACAGTCAGCCGCATCAATATTTAAAATACACCAGAAATTTCTATACGCCCTCAGTTTCGGTAATGTTCATGTATACATATGCTTCCGACCATGAGTGTACTACGGTTGTTTACGTTTGAAACTTAAGATGTATACTAATTTTATTGGACATTGTAAATGTATACATATTTATACAGCTGACTATACAAAATTTATAGCATAATAAGAATGTTTACATACAAGTATTTTGGCAGTTTACGCTATGGTTGCTATAAGAGATCGAGCGAGCCTTTGGAAATATTTATACGTTGTCTACTCTTACCCCAGTACTAAACTGTAGTCAGACGGAGTTGCGGACGAAAGCGAAAGCGTGCCCGTGACCTCGCCATCATGCGTAGGAGGAACAAAGGGTTTTTTATATATCATAAGTTGGCAAACGAGCGAGCGGCCACCTGAAATCGCTGAAGTAGCGATGTGACCGTTACCTATAGCCATTCGCAATTGCATTGCCTACCTTTAATCGACGGAGGAGAGGATGCACAGAAAGAAAATATTTTTCCTTTCCATGCATCCTCTCATCCGGAAAGTCCACTTCCACTTCCCATCCTTTCCTTATAAGAAAAGGGTGGGAAGGGAAAGAGGACTAAATTAGGCCTCCGGGACGCACACTCATCAGACGAAACGCGGATTGCCACGGGTTTAATGGCTATGCTCCCATCTGGAAGAGAATCCCATGTAGCTACCGTGACGCCCCCCCACCCCGGGCACTAAAGTCTAAATAGTAAAATGTAGAGACACTTGTATTAATTTTATCATTTTTTAAACATCCCTTAGAAGTCGAAAACTTCAGTTGTGTTGATATCTATCAATATTAATTGAGATACAAATGTGTGATAGAATAATTACATATTTATAATTAAATAATTTTCTTTTATTATCAAATTACTATTTGATTATAGAAAGTTTAAGTGCACACTTAATATTAAGTATCATAGTCAAGTACTTCTTAGGTATATAAAGTACTGACCTAATAATATTGCAGTTTTAATTTGTCGCAAAATAATCTGTTAGTGCGTTTATTATATTAAATAATACAAGGGTACAATGAAAGGTATGTATTTTATGTAGTCTATATCGAATCCGTGAGACAAGCAAATGTTTTCTATAATATTCACTTTCCCTTCAATGTCTTTAAATTGAATTTATAACATGTTTTTACACTAATAGTCGAGCAACGCATCTGCAGTTCCTCTTGTGTTGCTAATGTCCATAGATGTCGTTGATCACCTCAGTGTTACCGCCGCTCCTTTGCCCCCTTCTCTTTTTAAAAAAAAACAGCAGTTAATTTTACAACTTCGACCTTTTTCATAAATTGAAACATAATTAAGTAATGAAGTATTAATTATTTCTTACTTTCTTAGTAATATACGTAATAATAAACGTCAGAAACATAGCTGAATGCTCTTTCATAAACTTCGTTTTCCAGGAAAGATATTTTTCCTAGCTGCCCTTGCTTTAGTCCAGGGTAGACCACCGGAAAACGAAAATGAAACTCCTCTCCGCGATGATGATTGTCCAGAAGACCATCAACATTTCTTGCTGCCTCACGAAGATAATTGCACGAGATTCTACTACTGCGAATACGGATTAAAATATCCCACGCCGAGGGAATGCGCTCCCGGCACTCATTTCTCTTTTGAACTCCAGGTGAATGCGATGTACAAATAATGTTTCATCTAGTTAAATGACATCTAGGCAGATTAGGCAAGGTAATGTAAGAGATAGAAAGAAAGTGAAGAAGGCACTTTGCTTGTGTCCAATAAGGGTTGATAGGGCTTTTCGTTTTTGTCATCGTTCCTTCATTAGGACCGGTCATTATTAGATATCTGATAGTAGAGGTTATATAAAAGAAAAGGTAATAGCGGCAATAGCCATGGTATTACTGCATTTGTTATTTGCTATAATAATGTTAATTTGTTTTGTTACAGATTTGTGATTTGCCCGAAAATGCTGGTTGTATAAATGAAGGAAATCAAGGAAACAATGGTGAAGGTGACGAAGAAATTGGTAACGATGTTGTAGTTGACGGAGAATACAATGGTAAAGAAAATATAAGCATTTATAAAGAAGATGGAATATCAAATATTCAAAATAGAGGTGGAATAGTTGAAGATAAAACTGGATTAGAACAAAGTGGCAAAATGTCCTTGCTACCGAATGGTTGTCCTTCCTATCATGTACACTATCTCCTTCCTCATGAGAGTGATTGCACCAAGTTTTATTACTGTGTTTATGGTGAAAAAGTTTTGAGGCAATGTGCTTTAGGATTACATTTTAATCCTTCCACACAGGTAATGACTAATTCATTCCGAAAATATGAATCAGAAATACATATTAAAAACTAGCTGGCGCCCGCGACTTAGTCCGCGTGGATATATTATATAAAAAACTTAATTAGTGTAGTCTATGTGTTCTTTCAGACTACGTTCTATACGTATGCCAAATTTAATCGAAATCCGTTCAGCCGTTCTACAGATATCTTCAAACACCCATCCATCCACCTCTCATTCATCTAAACATTCGCATTTATAATATTAGTCAATTAAATAAAAAGTACCTCTTCAAGGCATAAATTCGAAAAAAATGAATAAATAGTATCCTATGTCCGTCTCCTGGCTCTAAGCTACCTCCTCGCCAATTTTCAGCCATATCGGTAAAGCCGTTCTTGAGTTATAAATAATGTAACTAACGACTTTCTTTTATATAGAAGATATTTATCATTCTTTCTCATTATGACCATGAATAAAAATAATTAAAAATTGTTTCGTTATAGAATTGCGATTGGCCCGAAGATGCTGAATGCACTCTAACTGGAGGAGTAAGTGGAGAAGGTAATTACAGTAAAAACAAAAACGTCAACGACAAAATTGGAATCCGTAGTGATGAGACAACCTGGCTAGAAAATGGTTGCCCAGCCAGTATCCACATTCACCATCTTCTTCCTCATGAGAACGATTGCACGAAGTTCTATTACTGTGTACTAGGGGAAAAGGTTATGAGAGAATGTGCTCCAGGAACACATTTTAACCCTACTATACAGGTAATTAAATTCGAAAGCGTCAAAAGCCTAATGGTTAAGAGTACGGATTTCTGATCTCTAGGTCGGGGGTTCGAATCTCGCCATTCGACTATTACCGTAAACCATATCCTAGCACAAGCATACAGCTTAGTTGGAACGGTACAAGAAATATGAGTGAATATATATAAAATCTGCTTATATTAAAAAAAATATTATGTAGACTTAACAACAATTTCGGCTTAGTTTTAATACTTCAATAAATATTTAGAAATTGATAAATATTAACATAGAAATTCCAAAATTACAGGTCTGTGATTGGCCTAAAAATGCCGGGTGTAAATCAAATGGTGGAAATAGTGGCAATGGAGGTAGTGGAGGAGAGAATGGTGGCACTGGTGGGGATAATGGTGGGGGAGAAACAAACTGGTTACCAAATGGTTGTCCCGCTAACATTCATATTCATCACCTACTTCCACACGAGAGTGATTGTACTAAGTTTTATCACTGTGTACATGGGAAAAAGGTTATGAGAGATTGCGCACCAGGGACACATTTTAATCCTACTTTGCAGGTATTTATTAACAATAAGCTGTCGCCCGCGACACCGTCCGCTTGAATTAAAAAAAGGAATAAGTAGCCTATGTGTCCTTCCAGACTATGTTCTATATGTATGGCAAATTTCATCGAGATCCGTTCAGCCGTTCTGAAGATAACTTAAAACAAACATCCATCCATCCATCTAAACACTCGCAGTTATAATATTTGTAAGATACAGTTCAAGTTCAGTTCAAATTAGAGAAAAAAAAATTCCTAAAACATTTCTAATTTTCATAACTAAAGGTTTGTGATTGGCCTCGAAATGCTGGATGTATTTCAAATGGAGGAAATGGTGGAAATGGTGACAATGGAGGTAATGAGGGTGGGAATGGTGGCTCCGAAGGCAGTAATGGTGGAAGTAACGGGGGAGAAAACGGCGGATCAGGGGGCGGTAGTAGTGGGGGAGAGACAACATGGCTACCGAACGGATGCCCTGCCAATATTCATATCCACCACCTTCTTCCTCACGAAAGTGATTGTACAAAGTTCTACTACTGTGTTCGTGGTGAAAAAGTTATGAGAGAATGCGCTCCAGGAACTCATTTCAATCCATTCTTGCAGGTAATTGTCGTTTTAAAAATGTAACAAATTAAGTAAAATACATAACAGAATTAGTGGAACATAAAAAAGGGTGAATATGAAACAGTAAATAGCAAACGTATAAATTTAAGAAAATTACAGGTGTGCGATTGGCCTCAAAATGCTGGTTGTACTGTTAATGGCGGAAATGATGGATCAGGGAGTGGTAATGATGGAAGTAACGGAGGAGAAAACGGTGGATCAGGGGGTGACAACAGCGGTGGAAGTAATGGAGGAGAAAATGGTGGATCAGGGGGTGGCGATGGTGGAGGTGGCATTACCTGGCTACCGAATGGTTGTCCGAACATTCATATTCACCACCTTCTTCCTCACGAGAATGATTGCACAAAGTTCTATTATTGTGTTTATGGTCAAAAGGTTATGAGGGAATGTGCTCCTGGCACCCATTTTAATCCTTCCTTGCAGGTAGGTACCGATTTTACAAAACTAACTTAAATTTTTTCCTTCATTCAGAAATGTCCAATGCCCATTATATATTCGACTTAAATTGTTATAAAATATAAATAAACGTTATATCAAGAGAGTTTAAAAGTTTTCTATTACAATGCCAGGTATGCGATTGGCCTAAAAATGCTGGATGCAGTTCAAATGGTGGAAATGGTGGTAGTGGAGGCGATGGTGGAGAGAATGGTGGCTCTGGAGGTGGTAACGGAGGGGAAAATGGAGGAACAGGGGGTGATAATGGAGGTAGTAATGGAGGAGAAAATGGGGGAGGTAGTAATGACGGGGGAACAAACTGGCTACCGAACGGATGCCCTTCAAATATTCATATCCACCACCTTCTTCCTCACGAAAGTGATTGTACAAAGTTCTATTACTGTGTACGCGGAGAAAAAGTCGTGAGGGAATGCCCTACAGGAACACATTTCAACCCTACCGTGCAGGTTAATGAATTACTTCCTCTTTAACTCTTTAATTGGTAGATTATTTCAGTTAAAAAAATAATTTTACTGACAATTCCCTTCCGACAGGCTTCAGAGACTAGTCCAATAGTTATTCAATTAAAACGCCTGGGAATACAATAGGAGTTTCATCAACTGAAATTATTTATAAATATTATTGTAAATACTTTAAAAAATGCAGTATTTATAAAATTATTAGTTTTAATTAATGTGTTACGGGTATAATCACAGCCACAAAAACTATGAGATTTATCGTTCTGGTCTTTAAATTCAGGTCTGTGATTGGCCTCAAAATGCTGGATGTACTACAAACGGCGGATCAGACGGTGGTAATAATGGTGGCGATAACGGCGGATCAGACGGTGGTAATAATGGTGGCGATAACGGCGGATCAGACGGTGGTAATAATGGTGGCGATAACGGCGGATCAGACGGTGGTAATAATGGTGGCGATAACGGAGGAACAACATGGTTACCAAATGGTTGCCCTGCTGATATTCACATACATCACCTTCTGCCTCACGAAAGCGATTGCACTAAGTTCTATCACTGTGTACACGGCAACAAAGTTGTAAGGGACTGCGCCCCGGGCACACATTTCAACCCCATCCTACAGGTACGCACAAATTTATTTAAAACTATTAGTAAATACCACAAGACAAAGGTTTAGTTTATAAAGACACATTTCCCGCTTTTTCCTATCCTTTTCTTATAATGAAAGGGTAGGAGGGATAAGTGGCTTTAACAGATGAAGGGAACTATACGAGAATAAGTCATTATGTGTGTACTCCGTTCATCTTATGAAAGCAGTCAATTCGCTATTACGACATTTGTTAGGTCGCTGCTTGTTTGCCACCTTATGATAAATAAAAAAGGAAAATACTGTCGGGGCATCATAATAAATGCTAGATTATTTCGACATATTTTAACATGAAAAGTATCGTGAAGTATAACGATTAAAACGATGAAGAAAGAATTAAATCTTTTGGTTATAGTGCAATCTCTTATTAGCTGTTTGTAATGATGAAAAGTAAAAATTGTTCCATTTAATTACAGGTATGTGATTGGCCGGATAAAGCTGGTTGCGCTAAAAATGGAGAAGATGATAAACCTAAGCCAAATCCGAATGGCAACAAATGTGAAAGCGGTTGTAATGTTCTTCCATGGGCTCATGATACTGAATGCTCTAAGTTTTGGGTCTGCGACGGTACTAAGCCTGTTTTAGGAACTTGCTCCGAAGGGCTCCATTTTAACCCTCAAACTTATACATGTGATTTTGTCTGCAACGTATCTTGTGTCAGGAAGAATATATTGTCCTCAGTTCAGCCAGACGGTCTTAAAATATTCCTTCCATGGAATAAGGTCGATCCTGATTTGATTAAACGGTATTTAAAAAAGAAATAAAATGTCGAAACATAATTTAAACTTTGGCTTGATTACTATTTAAATTTTGGACCTTAATCTTCTAAAATATATACGAAATTATATCAAGAAATGTCTTTTATTATATAGTTAATTAACAAACTGACCCACAAAATACTTTTTCCTCGATCAAAATTGCAATTTCTTCTTAATTTGTTAATTCTTTCTTAATCTTTTCATATTAACTCTAAATTAATCTGATATTCAAGGAAATGACGTTAGCGAATTAAAAAATTATCGTCTTATCATGGAGACAAACAATATGCTAATATAAAAAAAAAATTGTGAATCATGAACAGCAATAATTTTTAATCCTTATGTTATTTGACAATCAGACAAGAATATTGACCTTTGTTAGTCTTTGAAGAATCTTCTAATTTGCTTGATAGTGATTCTATTAATGTCAGTTTAACCGTAATAAGGTAATTGTGACAATCCCGGATTAAAGTTTTTAAGAATGCCAGAAAATACTTTTTGAATTTGCTAATTTAAATTTCATTCCCAAAAATGACTCGAAGATAGACTAGAAGTATTGTTAGTTACAGACCTAAAGTAGAGTTGGACAAAAGACAAGAAAGGCAATGTATACATTTCAAAGAGTAAATTTTTCCTCCTTATTATTGAATGTTTTAATACGAAATCGATAAGCTATTTAAATCTTATTACAAAATACTAATCGTTTCCGGACGATTCAGAATTTAATCTTTACGATCTCCAGGTCCATGGAACATTTAACATTTAACAGTGGTAGAGCCCGCTTTAACATCTTCGCACGAATTGTCCCGGCTCGCCCGGTGAAATACCACGACCACACAGAAGACAGGCGTCAAGTGGAAGCAATTCCGCGTTTCTTCTGATGAGTGTGCGTCCCGGAGGCCAAAATTAGTCCTCTTTCCCTTCCCATCCTATTTCTTATAAGGAAAGGATGGGAAGTGGAAGTGGATTTTCCGGATGCGAGGATGCATGGGAAGGGAAGATATTTTCTTTCTGTGCAACCTTTCCTCCGTCGATTAAAGGTAGGCAACGCATATGCAATTGCGTATGTCTATGGGCAACGGTCACTTCGCTATTTCAGCGATTTCAGGTGGCCGCTCGCTCGTTTGCCACCTTATGATATAAAAAAAAACATATGTACACTGCAACCACATTCTTGCAACAACTGCAAGAATAAAGTCCATGTTGATTTTCTCGTATTGTTTTTAATGGATACTTTTGAATATAGTCATTTGTCCTATACTTCCACCATTTAAATTTATCTCCACCATATTTTTGGCACTCCATTACCTGTTAAAACAAGCAGCAACTATTGAAAAAAAATTATATATTACAAAATAATTTTTTGTTAGGATACGAAATGAAGTTAAAGGAAGTCTGAAAGTAGCATCAGTAGTAGAAAAATAAGATGTAAAGGGTTAGCTTGGTACAACCATAATATGAATAAGGAAGAATGTGGCAAGAAATGTTAAGTATGTATATCGGTAGAGGTATCTAGGAAAAGATGAATAGTTGGCGTGCCATGGGTCATATAAATTGATTTGGAGGGCGGAAAACTGAAAGAAAGAAAGAAAAGTTTTTATTATAGGTAATACAGATTAAACCAAGAAACAATAACTAACATAATAAAATTGCACATAACTAAGAAATTAAATTAAACTTAAGTTACCATTAATGGTTAATTTGGATAATCTAGTGATGCCCACATTAGGCAATGCCTGTATCGTGGGCACCGATATTCAGATAGGTATATAATATTCAGTCCACAAAATTACAACAACCCACACTCACGACATTTTAGCATTTAACAATTATTAGTTACTCCGGTAAACATATAATAAAAAACAAAATTTAAGTTAATGAAAAGAAAAACAACTTAAGTTAAAATATATAATATAAATGTGTATGTACGGATATATAAATTGATAAGATATAAATATGTTAAAGGATCTGGGATTGTATCTACAAAAGATTGGTGCGCCGACCTTACGTAAATGGTAAAAGGACAGGGAGACGATGATGAAGGGAAGATCTTATGAAATTGTAGAATAAGTAATATTTTACGTGTGTATTTTTGATAACGGATACGAAGTTACGAGAAAGTGATTAATATCTCAATTTTCTTACATCGATATCATTCATTCAATTAAATTACAACAACACCTTATTGTCTTTACGACTTCTGTTATGTCTTATCAATTTATCTACAAGCTATTATCCAAGCTTATCGGCTATGTATTAGTATAAAGGGTAATTTGGATATATATTCAAAATCAGGTTCGTATTTTAGCAGTTACAAATCGTCACTTAAATTATTTAGTGGTTTTTATATCATAAGTGAAGTTAGTGTGACGCGGGCGCTATGAAAGGTATTTCTAATTACATAGTGAAGACATACTAGATTTCTAGAATAACTGAAGAAAAGAGCTAAAGCTCTTGGCTTTGAACCTTGAATTCTCAATATAGGATTTTTTTATATATAATAAAAATATTTACCTCGTATTATGATTCAATGATTTCATAGCTTGATTAGTATTAATTAAACCTTTTAAAGAATAAAATATCATTCGATTTAAATATTTGGTAACAAGAAAATGTGTGATGGATAAGCTTACTTTATTGATTTATAAATAACTCAATTATTATGGATTCTTTAGGAAAACTCATTTTCCTGGCTGCCCTGGCGTTAGTGCAGAGCAGACCACCAGGAGGAGAATGGTACGATGGGGATGAGAGATCTGCCGTTGTCTCAGACGATTGCCCTGACGCGGAACAGCATTTCCTTCTACCCCACGAATACGACTGTACAAAATTCTACTACTGCGAATACGGTGTGAAATGGACAACACCAAGAAATTGCGCGCCAGGCACGCATTTCTCTTTTGAGCAACAGGTAAATAAATCGAATTAATGAACATTTTTTGAACGTTTCCTAAAGAAAGAACGGTTGTTACCAAATTTTATGAGGTTAAATAGTAGTATTAAATGAACATTTTACTTTAAGGTTTGCATTCATCCCATATTGGCAAATTGCACACTACCCGGAAGTCCTGCCACTGGTGCTGATACTACTGCCACAGTACCTATAACGACAACAACTACAACAACACCGGCGCCAACAACTACTTCAACCACAACGACCACAACTACGGCGCCAACGACGACTACTACAACGCTAGCGCCAACAACTACTACTACAACGGCAGCGCCAACAACAACTACGAGTACGACAACAACAACGACACCAGCACCTACTACGACTACAACTACCGAAGCTCCAACCACAACAACAACAACGCCAGCTTCAACAACTACAACAACGACGCAGGCGCCAACTACAACTACAACGACGCCAGCTCCAACAACTACAACAACGACGCAGGCACCAACAACAACAACGACGACCCTAGCTCCAACGACAACTACAACAACTACCGAAGCTCCAACCACAACAACAACAACACCAGCTTCAACAACTACAACAACGACGCAGGCACCAACTACAACTACAACGACGCCAGCTCCAACAACTACAACAACGACGCAGGCACCAACAACAACAACGACGACCCAAGCCCCAACGACAACTACGACCCAAGCTCCAACCACAATAACAACGCCAGCTTCAACAACTACAACAACGACGCAGGCACCAACTACAACTACAACGACGCCAGCTCCAACAACTACAACAACGACGCAGGCACCAACTACAACAACGACAACGCAAGCCCCAACGACAACTACAACCCAAGCTCCAACTACAACTACAACGACGCCAGCTCCAACAACTACAACAACGACGCAGGCACCAACCACAACAACGACAACCCAAGCCCCAACGACAACTACAACCCTAGCTCCAACTACAACTACAACTACAACGACGCCAGCTCCAACAACTACAACAACGACGCAGGCACCAACAACAACAACGACGACCCTAGCTCCAACGACAACTACAACAACTACCCAAGCACCAACTACAACTACGACAACGCCAGCTCCAACAACTACTACAACGACGCAGGCACCAACCACAACAACGACGACTCTAGCTCCAACAACTACAACTACAACCCTAGCATCAACGACGTCAACAACGCCAGCAACTCCGGATTTATTAGATAACGGATGTCCAGCTGATTTTCATATTCACAAATTGTTGCCGCATGAGACGGAGTGCAACAAATTTTACTACTGCGTGCACGGACAGAAGGTACAGAGAAGATGCGCTGCTGGCACCTACTTCAGTTTTAAAGAACAAGTAAGTGAATGACACTAACATTACTCTGATATAATCTTCATCCACATCTACACAAGCGCGGTAAATTTTATTAGTAAAAAAAAATATTTTTATAATATTTGTTTTGTAAAGAAAACGATATATATTATTTTCTTTCATCCGGTGCTGAATGTTAAATACTAGTTATCTGCGAAGTATTTTCAAATTTTCTTTATCAGATAAGCTTAACTAAATCTGGATTAATAATAATCCAGAAATCGATTGTATTAACAGCTAACTGATTAACTGTAGACTGATAAGTCGAGGAAACAGTAGCATTTAAATATTATTTCATATTATAAAAAATGTCGTAATATCAATGCTTCTTTAATATTAAATTAACTCAAGTGCTATTACTTCTTTCAAAAGTCCTGGTGACTGAAGGACTTCGTATTGCACCGCGTTACAACTTAAGCTGCGGATCGACTCGCGCATATTTCGGAGCCGCCATGATATTTGAATACATTTGTACCTTATACCAATTTTGTTAAGGTTTAACAAATAACTTTACTTAAACAAATTGTTTTAAAAATCTCATCCTCTAAAATTATTATTATCATTAAGGAATGACACTTTTCAAGATCGGCTTCACCTCCTTCACCTTCACAGATTAATATGTGTGTCGTTTCAAATTCTTGTCATATTTTTCCATTGACCAGAACCAGGAAATTTATTACCAAATTAACAAGGTGACTTATTATATGTAAACAATTTTATCATTCTAATCCTAATCCGAAAATGATAACAGGATTATTATTTTCACGCGTTCGAATGAACTATCTACAACTATTTATTAATCTGATCAAATGAAAGATTTGATTTTTACTACCATTATCTATACAAGAGGAATTTTCGACAAAGTTATCTATGTTAATTAATTTGTAGTTTTAGGAATATTACATTTACATAAAGCTGACATTACTTTGTATCGATATTTATTGACATAAGCTAAAAGGATAATCACTCTAAAATTTAATTCTGGATTCCAACTGTAGCATTCGTTGTGCTATATTTGGCTCGTTCACGTACCGACACGTGTTGCCAGCTCAAAGGTCTGACATCGACTGACGTCCCCTCTCTCCGGCATGTACTTATGGCGTGTACGCTTATGTGTGTGTACGTAAAAATATTTAATCCATTATTCCAGGTTTGTGTTTTCCCTTGGGATTCCGAGTGCGTCAATAACGGTGGTGGAGGCGGTGGCGGAGGTGGAGGCGGAGGCGGAGGAGGTGGCGGTGGCGGAGGCGGAGGTGGTGGTGGAGGAGGTGCCACTCTGCCAAACGGTTGTCCGGCTGATTTCGACATTCATCAACTTCTTCCTCATGAGAATAATTGTAGCAAGTTCTACTATTGCGTTTATGGAGAGAAAGAAGAAAGGGAATGTCCCCCTGATACACATTTTAACCCTGTACTACAGGTAAGTAATTAAACACACTAAAGCTTAGGCAATAGTGTAACAAGTGACTAATTACTATAGAAAAAATAGTTTTAAGACTAACCTTAAAACTTTAAATATGAATTTTTAAGTATTTTTGCTCCTTGATAAGGCTGTAAATGTTTCTAATGCTTAAACTGTATTTTTTTACCCAACTGACTCAAAAGAATAATGTGGGTAGTGAGGTTTTATGTATGTTAGTTTGTAAGTTCCATCGTTACCGACTGTAGTCCAAACAATTGAACCGGTTTTTCTTATACGATACGATACGTTTGGTTTAAATTAACAAATAGTGTTAAAATTATAGGTATGTGACTGGGAGGAGGACGCTGGCTGCATTCCAGGAGGAGGTGAAGGCGGAGGTGGAGGAAACTTGTTACCAAACGGCTGCCCCGCCGACTTCGATATCCATCAACTGTTACCTCATTATGATTGCAGTAAATTTTACTACTGCGTACACGGAGAGAAAGTAGAGAGAAATTGTGCTCCAGGAACACATTTTAATCCCGTTGCCCAGGTAATTACAAATTGTACTTGTATTGTAGGCTTTTCTTAAGAATTTTGGCTGAAGCCAGCCTTAAATACTGTAATAACTGATTTAGTTAAGAAAGTTAGTTAAGAAGAAATATCTAGAGGAGGGCGTGAGTTATTTATGTATGGTAAGGATACTTCAATTTATGTAACTTTCTATATTTTTCATCCAGACGACAGCTAGTTAAAAATTAATAACATATTCTAGGTGTGTGACTGGCCCCATGCAGCGGGTTGTGTTGGCAACGGAGGAGGCGGAGGAGGTGGAGGTGGCGGAGGAGGGGATGGAGGCGGAGGAAACGGAGATGGTGGAGGCAGTGGAGATGGCGGAGGTAGTGGAGATGGCGGCGGCGGTGGAGATGGCG